CTGGACCCATCTGAAGGAGACAAAAATAACGGGAGTTATTTGCCCCAGAATCTCCCTCCTTACGTGCAGTGTCTCATCTCGCCTTTTAATGAGTCTGGCCTTCCAATCACTTTCTCCGACGTCCTCGATTCTCTTTTCGCCTCGCCTTCCCTTTCTCGCTTTAGTCAGCTGCAACGACAAGGTTTTATTTCTTTGCTGTTTTTATCCTCAATCATAATCCCTGTCGTCATCATCGTATTTGTAATGTAAATGTCCGGAAAAAATCACCACCTCGCAGGATTTAGTGTGGATTGGCCTGACGACGGATAAAATACATACTGTGTAGGTTGTTGCGGCCTCTATAAGACTGCCTTTCGGATTATCATGTTTAGTTCTGACCGTCCGGAAACGGCTGAAGTGCTCTGAGCATACTTTCCTGCTCCCCCTTCTCCCCCGTAGAAACCGTGTATGTAGAGACAGTAAGCTCAAAATCAGTCTTGACACTATTGGCTAAGCTCTTAGGGTGTGTTTTGAGTTCATGTTATCTGTTCTTCGCTGATTGGGGACATAGCAGGTCAAGTGCACCAGATTTTCTGTCACAAATGTCCATGCATAGAAGATCACTGTGTGGGACATCCTAGGGGCCAGCTACATCGGTAAGGCTTTTAGCCGCGTTAGTTCTCACTAAGGGAAGGTCCGATTCTTTCAGTTGAAGCTGGCGAAGGTAACCTTGCGCCTGTTTTGTGACCATTTGCTTTAATTTTTTTCTCGTCTTTTTCGACATCTGGTCGACCTTGGCACTTGATTGAATCTGCTAAACATCGTTTCCCTCGTATTTTTTCTGTTAGAACAAGGCAATTAGCCTTACCCATTGGAGACGCTCCTGACAGGATATGATGGTAGCAACTAAGTGGAAACTATAATAGTGCGGTAGTCTAAGAGAAATAGAACTATTCGCTCGCAAAAATTGCCACTTAGTTGTTCTCTTGTATGCGACAATTGCCTCACTGAATCTTGCATTTTTCACCTCAACCCTGGAATACTTTTAAATGAACAACTCACACTGATCTTTGTTTCGTTGTTAGTTCTTCCAGATTAAGGATACTGTCCATCACCTACATCGGGGTTTCCTTGTAAGACACGCAGTTTCTATCTTAGCTACTCTGTTCCATAACAATGAAACCTGTATTTTTCACTGATTTTAAACCATTATACCTCAATTTTTTCGCTGTCAATTTTGTCTACTTCGAAACATATTCCCTCAGAATAACTCGTCGCTCGTCCAATGCAATTACCCCGAACCATTTTATGGTTGTCTGTGAAATTGAGCGAAGTTTAATGGGCTGAACTCTCTGTTCTTTGCGATCTAACAGGTTATTACTCGGCGATTAACCCTGTGGTTCAGTGTATGCGAAAATAGCAATACGTAACAAACGAGGTAACGTCCTTTTCCTTCACCCGGAAGCCATTATCGAATGGCATTGTTTTGCCACTGTCAGGAGCCATGCAGCGGTACGTCATTATCAGCTCCAGCCACATTTTATATCTTAAAGCATCGCGAACAGCTTCCCAATTTTCCCACTAGTATCAACTTCAGACCGGGAGTGGAATATTTTTCTAATCGAATACAATATAATAAATTGATTCTGACAGTGGGCTGGTGTGCGTGAGGGAGGTGGGGGTGCGGTAGGTTCAGCGTAAGTCTGCTGTCACTGTAAACTAATTCCCGTGCAAGTCGCTGCCTCTGAGCCCACTCTACCATGGGTCAAACTGCGGAAATCTTCGTTTGCCACGGTCGAACTCGCATGCCAGTCCTCCGTAGGAATGTTCTAATAGGCTCCCGAGAGCTTGATTCAGTGTTCAACCTTGATCTACTCTGACTTCATGTCAGTTAAAAAAAATGCGAAATATGTGGAGGCAAATCTTCCGGAGAGATTAGTGTCATGGTTGCAGCGGACCTAAATAACATTGCCGCAATTAGTTCTACTGAATGTTATCAGTAGCAGTGCTATCTTGTGTTTAACCTTTTAGACTTCGCCTTCCTCGTGCACGGCGTACGTGTGCCCGAAACTACACCCGGACAATGGATCGCCGAGAACCTCGCCTACGCCGATAACTTTGTTCACATTGTTGCCCGTCATCTGTGATATGCACCTGCGGTTTCAACATCTGACATGTTGTTTCATCACCGCTGCCACGACCTACGTCATCGCCACTTTTCCTGTCGGCTCGTCTGTCATTGCGTATATTTTTGTAAGTGCGATTACGTACACCATTCGACACTTTCCACCAATACTTATTTCAAGTTGTCAACTCTTTCCCTCCAGCCTGAAAGAGGCCAACTTGTAAGAAATTCTGCCTCTACCTCATCTCTTCCTTTGACTGTCTACTGTATCTAGGCGTCTTCTTTTTGATTTTCGCAAATTTGCTCCGATTTGGATCTTGTGCTGTCGCGTTCGATGGGTGTTGTGTGCCATCTTAGAAGGAGTAACAGACTGTATTGCCAATAGAAGCAGTTCAGAAGGACGAGGTGCGATAATTGGAAGAAGAATTTAATTCGCCAGGCACCTCGGATTCGCACTCGAAACCACTATCATCTGCGACTGCTTCTGAAGATGGGTTTGAGTGAGAATCAGAAACGTACGGCGAATAAACTTTTTGTCCAAGTGTTCGTATTTCCTTTTCCTTTTGGATAGGAGGTTTATTTGCTAAGTCCTTTCAGGTATCCCTATAGTAGAAAAAACGGGTGTCCACTGCGTGGCACTGACTCACCCTAGTCCGTGGCAGGCGCCGAACCACAAAATACTTATGACCAGGAGTTTCTGTAAAAGTTCGAGTATGATTACGGTTCTAACTTCTGATCTTATATTGTACCTGGTCGGAACTTCTGTGTGCGCTTTCGGGCAGATAAGATTTCCATGCTGACTAGTATGAGACATTATCTTAAAATAATTCACGCATGCTTATTGTGTGCCACATCACGTTTTCGTTTTATTTTGTGCTGGAACGGGCAATATATTCTGAGGCGTTGGAAGAATGATCCGAGTATTCGCTCATTTATTACTGTTGCGTCTCAATAGGCCCCGACACACGAACCCAAGGGGATTTTATTGTGCAAAATGGTACCTAGAAGGGTTAGGGGCACT